CCTGGGTGCCCAGTGCCCGGGTAGAAGAGCAGCACGGCGGAGCGCAGCTCGCCCAGCGACCGCCCCACCTCTGCCCGGAAAACCAGCTTGAACCGCAGCTTGGCCTGGGCCCCCCACCTCACTGGAAAGGAGAAACGGGGGGTGAAACAGGGCCCCTCCGGCAGGCGGGCGAGGAAGGGGCTTTGGGGCCGAGCATCCGTCCCAGCTCGGCCGCCAGAGCGTCTGGGGCAGGAGCTGGCAGGGAGGAAGAACGCAGCAGATCCCCGCCCCGGTGCCCGGGAGGTGCTCGGTGGGGCAAACCCCGCAGCCTCTGCCTTGCTCCCAGGGCAGCTCTGGAAAATTTTCCCAGGCAGATCCCTACGGAAATCTCTTCTCCCACAGCAGCTCCTCCCGTGGCCCAGGGATGTTGTGGCGAAGGGATGTTGTGGCCAAGGGACATTGTGGCCGTTGCATCGCAGCCAGCAGCACTGCCTGGGGAAGAGCCACGTCCCGGCACTGTCAAGTTCAACTGAAAATCCAAAATCTGGGAGGAGAGGAAGAGATTTCAAGAAGAAAGAAGCAGCCGTGTCCCTCTCACTACAGGGAGGGGCTGGGCTAAAACTAAGGGTTGCGCTCTCCCTCGAGCGCAGCACTTACCGCAGAGGCAGGCCAGGGGAACACGCACTGCTGGTTTTCTCGTGAGGCTGAAGCTACACAAGCAAACCCAGGACCCCACAACTCCTCGGCAACACCCAGCCCGAGAGATCAGCCCGTGCTGCAGCCAGCAGCCGGGCTCACACCACGGCACGACCAGCCAGGTCAGCTCATCTCACCCTCTCCTCTCCTCTCCCAGTCAGACAAACTTGGGACGGGGTCCTAACCCGTGTTATTAAAGCAGAAAGTGAGATTCAGTTGTAATCTCAAAAGCAGAGCAGAAGCCACCAAGGCTGCAGCACCTGGGCGTTAGTCACAGGCAGGGACCAGGCACCCTGTTGCACACAAACTGTCATCACTACTAAAGCTTCTTAAAAACGTACCCAGAATGATATTTTGCTGTATCACTTCGCTACATTTAAAAGGAACCCAACCCCACACATTTAACTTTTTTGTTTGAATCTCAGATTTAGGGCAAGCAAACAGCGCTGGTCTCCCCGAGCCCTGTGCTCGCCCCGCTCCGCTCGGCCCTGGCGCTGGGGTTTCACACCAACCTTCCTCCAGATGCAGCACGAGGACTCGGTCCTGCCCCGGCTCCACCAGGTGCGCGTGGATGTGCTGCAGGGGATGGAGAGCAGCACCCGCCTCCCCGGCCGGGCAGAGCCCCAAGGTTGGGAGAAGGCTTTCATCCCAGCTGGTTCGTTGTCTCAACAGCTTGATGAAGCTGCTTTCGTAGTGGGTGAGAACACCCACGACTTCCAGGTGCCTCGGGGTCAGCCCGTCCTGGCCCATTTTCACCCTGCACACGGGCCCTTCCAGCCCCCCGAGAGGCCACGGGTGCAGGCTAGAGTGGGACCAGGCGATGCCCCCGTCCTCAGCCGGTCCCTGGAAGCATTTCGCTCCTGGGTCGGGCTTAGAAAAGAGGCGAGGATTAGCAGCCATCCTTGATCTTGCTGCCGAGATGGGTCTCACTTTTTCCTGGAAACTGGTGTTTTCTCTCTTTCCCTCCTCTGCTTCAAGTCCCAGCTCCAGCCGGTTCCTTTCCTCTGTGCTGCCCTTTCTTGGGAGTGCTGCAGAGGGGAGCAACAGCACCAGGCACGGCAAAAGCACCCTAAGAGCCTTCATGTTCCCACTTCAGCTACTCCTGACAGTCGTTCAAGCCGCTCACAAGCATCTCAAAACGCTTGGGCTGAAGGGGAGGACGGCGTCTCCCTTATAAAAACCGGCGGCCTTGAGTTGACAATGCACAACACACCTCCCTTGAGAAACTCAAAGGCCGTCATGCTAGAGAGGAGGGAGGGATGTTTCAAAGAAACTTTTTTGTTCTATTTTTGGGTTTGCATCTAGTATTGGAAACATACAAAAATTAAAACTGTTTCTCTTACTCGTAGGGACGCACGTCCTTGACTTCAGATGTTTTCTGAAGGAGGACGGATGTCTAGGCTTGGACCTTCACGGGGACTGGCACATACTATTCCCACCAGCAGCGAAACACCGGGAGGGGAGAATTAGCCAGACTAGGAGGAGGGGGAGAGAGACAGATAATGGATAGAAACTAAGTAAATGTATGGAAAGCATTCCCCGCTCTTCCCTGGAAAGCCTCCCCCTCAGCTGGCAATCCGTACGCTGCAGTTTGCAGAGGCTGAGCACATCTCCTGAGCCCCGGCTGCTTCAGCCCCTGAAGGAGAATCTCACAGGGTGCAGCACCAGCCTGATGACTCTGAACACTTAAGAGGTGACTTAGAAAAGTCTCACCACACACGTATTTTAGGGACTTTTTCCCTCTACGAGAGGCCAATACTCACTGTAACGCTTGGAATTACCAATGCCACCTGCCTAATCCACTCCAGAGAAACCTCCCTCCATCCTTTCTTTGACAACAGAGGGCAGGGGGAAATGTACCCACAAAAAGAAAAAAATGTTCCAACACACATTCAGACCCTTCTCCAGGTTTCCAAGACTTTGCAGTTCAGAGCTCAGGATCCGGCTACAAAGCATCCTAAACGGGCCGCACACCCGACCTGGGGAGGGACAAGAGGCACCACACCGAGGGGCTGGCGGAGGTGACTTCGCTTCTCCAGAAGCTGCGACGAAGGACACGCACCCACGCGAGCCTCTCCAGGCATCGGGCCGGCCCAGCTCGAGGGAAAGGGCTTCAGCACAGCGGTAAAGCCAGCGAGGGCTGAACACACCGGGGGGGGGCTGAGCGGGACCCGCGTCAGGCCCGCGGAAGCGGCACAGACCTTGATTCCCCCATCAAAGGGGCACGCAGCTGCAGGGCTGCGGCCAGCACAGCCTCCCCCGCGGCCAGTGAAATGAGGCAGGTGCTGGCCAGGGGCAAGCCCGGGTCAGGCAGCCTGGCCCCCAGCCGTGCCTTTACCCCCGAGCACCCTGGTGCCCCGCAGCGAGACACCCCGGTTCAGCAAAATGAATCCTGGAAAGGATAGAGAGGAGAAATCTCAGAACTTCTACTTTTTAACGGGAACCAAATGATTGTTTGAAGGAAACATTTAGTATAAATCAAACCACAGAGAACTAAAAGCTTGCCAAAACCACTCTACTAGTGGGAGGATATATACAATAAAAATCATACATGACAGCAGGTGCTCTGTAACGCTACAGACATTTGATGAATTATAGTAGCAAACTACGATTTAATATCGCTGCAGCTTTGGTAATTTCATTTGACTAAACATTCCCAGAGATCCCTGGCACAAGCGAGAGCACCGACACTTTTGTTTGTGATCCCACACTTGGCATCAACAGCGGGTAGGAGCTCGGCAGCTGCGTACCGGGGAAGGACGATTCTGTCGAAAATTGTCAATGAAATCTTGTCTGGCACCTCTCAAGGACTCCTGAGCAGGCGTCCAAACTGATTTCCTCAGTAGAGATGTTTCCAGCTTTTAGCTGGCACCACCTGAGCTACAGCACAGCGCTCTGGCACCGGGAGGAGAAGGGAGGTTTCCAAATGCAGCAGGAGCGACGCTCTTCCGATTGTGAGCGTAAATCAGCGGGAAAAGAGAGAAATCTGGGTTTAGCAAATCCTGCTTCCCCTCCCTTCTGCCCCGGTTACTGGTGCTGCAGGACCAGAATCCTTTCTGTGTGTCTATGACAAGTCTCCCCATCCCTGAATGAACAGCTTGATAAAGGACTTGGGCTGAATAGTGACTAATTAACTGGCTGGTAATTTATGGGCTACACACCGGAGCAGCCTAAGCGGGGTAACGTGTTAAAGCCAACACAGCTGAGCCAGGGTTGATGCAGCGATTCAGTTAGAAGGTGGTGAAGCGCCTGAAATCTGCAATTCTTTGCCTCCTTTTCGGGGAATTCCGAACTGTAACCAGACTGGGAATGGTTTATATATTTTAAGGGCTAAAGAAAGTGAACACACGGCAACATTTTTAACCAAAATACCCGGAAACATAGAGAAAGGAAAATGGAAAACCTTTTAATGAACCTACAGGATTTAGTCAAATTCACGGGCATACAAAACAGACATGTTGATCTGAATCAGTTGTGATCTGCATATAAAAAGATCCGAACTAGAGGAGTCCAGCAGGACTGAGTCCAGGAGGGGCTTCAGTTGGAGGGAGGCGGAGGGGGGATAGTGCCTGGCCCCTCCGTGGGGAGGGGTGGCCTCATCATGGGCGGCAGAGGAGCAGGGGGGGGCACGCCGGGTGCTGGTGGCAGCTGAGGTGGCACGGGAGGTGGCGGCACCGGCCCGGAGGGAGGCATGGGAGGCAGAGTCATGCCTCCCGGAGGTGGCGGCGGCATGGAGTCTGGCAGGGGGGGCCTGGGGGGCAAGCCGTTCATCAGGGGAGGCGGAGGAGGCCGCTTCACAGTTGGGGGCCCCGGAGGGAGGTTTGGGGGAGCTGGGGGCTTCTCCATCTTGAAGTGGAATTGAAGGAAGAACTGGGGAGGAGAGAGGAGAAAAGCGAAAAGGGAATAATTAATCCTCAGGACAACTTTGTGCCATCACACAACACATGTCCCTGCTCCGGGAGCGCAGCTCGGATCTCTCCTGAGCAGACTGGCTGCCCTCCCACCCCGGCACCATTCACGACTTGCACCAGTACTGCCCAGTACTTTAACTCCTCTGAAACTCATCCTGAGCGCTAAGCCATCTGTGAGGGGGTCGGTACCCCCCGCTCTCCCACAGGACAGCGACAGCCAGCTCGTGCAGGGAACAGGCAGCGAGCAGCCCGAGAGGACACGGTGTTGCACGTTCGTGCACCGTTCTGCTCCTGCTGACGGCAACCGAGAGTCTGCGCCCAGGTTAAACGCTCACTGAGATCACACACGGGTGGATCTTTCTGTCAGGAGTCACTGCACAGCTGTATCCAAGGAATGAAGATTTTAGCACCAAATCCAGCACAGGTATCCCTGCTGTGCACTCTTCCTGCACTGCCTTTCCCCACAAAAGCTGCTCTGAACCTCCTGCTCCCTTCTTTAACCCTTAAGAAAAATGTTGCAGTGCTCCAGCTACCTGCTTGGTTTCCCTGTTCCAGTGGGTCCAAAACTTTCCTTCTGCTTTGTCGATTTCTCTGCTTGGCACCTGCAAGAAAAAAAAAAAAAGAATAAGGAACTATTATTAGGACCACCAGATTAGCTCAATGGCCCTTTTTAGCACCAGAGCCTGCAAGATAAGCACAGTTATTCCAGGCCTTTGTGAGATGTGCTGGTCTCGGATGTTATTAGATAGAGATGGGGGCAGGAAAGAAGTTACTTCCCTATCGGTCAAGGACAAGTGTGCTGGCAAAAAACCCTCTCAACATCTGCACAAAGGCTGAGGAGCAAAGCCCAGAAGGCTCCTTTCTGTGCCAGACCCTGAGAATTCAATGGCTCCCCAGAGCTCAGCACACAGCCTAGTTTTCATGCCAGAGTCCTCCACTAATTCTCAGGAGGGTTTAATGACTTCCAGTCACATCTTCTTGACCCCTCTTCCCCACTCCATTAACCCCCTGAGGGCTAGAACAGAAGTCTGTAATACTGTTCACTGGGAATTAGAGTCTTGGAAAACATGGAAATGGAACTTTCCCAAGCCTTACCTTGAAAGCTATGGTTTCGTAGGGCTCTGCTGCCATCAGAAGGTACTGCCAGCGTCTATCAGGGGGCTCAATCCTTTGTTCATAGGCCGACATGAACCGATGGCGAGGCATGATGCTTTCTGCAATCTCTGGATAATCAATCTGTTGGGGTGTTACAGCAGCATCAAGAAGAACATCCCCTTTTCACCCCTGCTTCGTACAAAACAAACCCCTCAGCTACGAAGCGTAGCGAGAAAACGTAGCGCCACCAGCTTGACAGCTGAGTTGTAGCTTGACAGCTACAAACATGGATAACCCAGATACCGAGAATTTTCACAGGGCCCTTACCTGGAAGAGAAGGCTCTGCTGGCCTGTTTCTGGATCTCTCTGTTTGGTCACTGTAAAGAAAATAAAGGTCAGTTTATGGCACAGCAACGATACTTCTGCCCTAGGAAACACACAAAACTTCCAGCTACGAAGTATTACATGATTTTCCTCCCACTTATCAAACAAAATACCACACTGTCTTCAACCAAAGCTACTAAGTATCTCTCCCAAAATTCAGCCCCTGTGGGGCAAAGACACTGTGCACTGCAGAACAAGGCTGGGAGATAAAGAAATTAAGCTGTGCACTGAAGGCTGAAACAAAACAATGAGGAGTTCGGAGGAAAAAATACTTGAGCTATGTACGCAATGAGTGATTTATGAGCGTTAGTGAAAGATGGTACAACACAATAAAAGGAGACGAGAGGCTGAAACAATGTCAGCACCTCCTGCACGACTGCTAGTAAGAGCTGAAAGGCTGAGACATACGGATCTATTATTAAAATGGTTCTCGCTCGACTGTCAGCAATAAAGAGATGTTCTGTGGGTAATTTAAACAATAAAGGACATCGGGAGATAAGCCCATCTCTTATTCATGGACAGATCTGCTAAAAAGTCTAATTAATAATTCACACCCACAGCACTGCACTTCAAGCAAGCTCCGGCAGGCAGGAGGTGTCTCCCGTGACAGACACCCCTGACATACCTTTATAACCCGGCCGTCCAATTTTCACAAATTTCTTCACTTCCACTTTGACTTTTTCTGGCGCGGGCTGGGCAGGGGCTTCCTTCGCTTCCTTGGCAGCACGACGGGCCCTGGATTGATTTGAAATGTGTCAAATTAGAACAGGTTAGCTCTGCTTGTTTCTAAGGGATACGCTAGGAGCAGTCTGAATCCCTTACCACAGAACATTCAGCGCTTCCCAGGAAGCCAAGAAAACCTGCTATTCCTCTTCCATGCACCTTACAGGCCATTTGTACCCCTGCCTTCCCCTGACTAAAGGCTGTCATCTCGTTTATCTGTCCACCCCCAAGATGACCTTGGTGCTCCCCTCCACAGATGGATTTGGGAAGACTTAGTTCTTGAAATAAAAGAGAAAAAAAAAAAAAAACACACAAACTCCTTATCTAAACCAAAGCAAACTGGATTTCTTAAAATAAAGCTTACAAACTTCTCCCACCCTGTATTCACATAACCAGATTCTTACAACTAGACTCGGACAGTTTGCTTTTAAAACTCCTTCTCCCCTTTCCTTCAGAAATCCCACAACTGGCTTTGAACTCGATCTCGAAATGGAGCTTGGCAGCACCGGTTTTCTGTCTGTACCTCCTGGCTAGTGCCAGGCTGTTCACTAGGAAACACGCACAGCCAAAGAACACTGGAGCACAGTGTGCTACTGTATAATGGAGCTCAAGATTTATAGATAACCCACATCATCGTTTTAAAGTGCTCAGGTAATGGAGAATAAAGCTACAGTGGAGAATGACTTACAAATTGGTCTGATGCTTCTTCCCCTGGGTATGTGCTAAGTAACTTCCCTGAAATAAAAAACAAGGTGGAAGGAAGTTAAATGGAGACAAGACTGTTCCTACACTGAAAGGTACTTGTCACAGAGGAGAGACTGTATCACACATTGACAAGGATATTTTAATCCTTAGCAGAGAGGAATCTTAACTCAAAAATTGCAGATTGCTCTCAGCTGCTGAACTGTCATAAACTGTCAGGCTTAACACAGAGAAGCCGCTACCCACCCATCATCTCTTCAGCAGTCAGTCACCAGGCACGTCCCAGGTTCTCGCACTATTATTCCAAAATACCTGCTGCTGGGATCAAGACAGACAGCTCTTCAACTCACCTCGTTGTTGTGCAGCGTTAGGCAAAGCTTGCATTCATAAGAGCCCAAGTGATTTTTCATAAAATAAGGGTCCTAGAAAGAGAATCATTACAAAGTTACAAGCAAAATACATGGCAAAACAACAGAAAAATCAAAATATTGCCGAACTTTTGGTGCACTGGAAGAACCGAGTTCAGAGATTTAAATGAATAGCATAATACTGCTTTAGGACAAAGAACACAGCAACAATAGCAGCTTTGTTAATTGGTGACAGCATACACAACTGCAGGCAAGAAACAGCAAAACACAAACCAGCCCTACGACTAAAAATAACCCAGTAACAGCTACTTCAATACGCAACTGCTGGCACCTCTCTGGTCAGCCCCATCACAAACGTTTCTCATTCAACTCCCACATTACCAGAAAAAAAGAAGTATTTCATTCCAATCCACAACGCTCCACTAAATCTCTCACCCTCCAAGCTGTTTCGCTCAGAGAAAGCTCCAAATTTATCCCCACAACAGTGTGCAGGATGGGAGCCCCGGGTCTTTTCTTTCCTCCACACAGAGGGGCCGAGGCTCACCTTGTTGATGTCGATGGTTTCCAAAGCCAGCTGCCGGAGCCTCTCCCTGCGGTCACGGTTACTTTCTGAGGCAGAGGCTACGCCTCCGCTTCCAGTTTTACCTCCAGGTCGATGTTGAAAATCCATGATGGGGACTTCTGTGCTTCAGCTACTTTTGGAGAAAGAGTCTGGCAAAATAAGGAAAAGCAATGTGAGTGATAACGAATGCTCTTCCTAACCCGGAATTCACATCGCTACTTAGACTCGTCAGTAAAAACGTGAGAGCAGCACAACAAACCGTGCCCTGGACATTCCCCCTGGAACGCAATTTCAAATGGAGCAGGTCTTGTATCACTGGTACTAAAATTAAGTAGAAATAAAATGATCCAAACTAACAAGCCCCCAGAGCCCTTCTCATTTCCTCAACTGCTTCTTCTACGCAGAGACGTGTTCCTCCCCAAGCTCAGCCGGGCCCCTGCGAGGCACAGCAGCCCCACCACTGACTCCCCCCCCCTCCCTGGGGG